TGACCAGATCAACACACTTCTAATTACCTGTACACATTAAGTCCAAAGCCCAAGATAAAGGCTGGGTTTGTATTACAGCTTTCCCTAGGAAATTGCTTTAAGTTTTAAATTTATTTGAACTGTAAAGAAGAAAATGGAAGTGTGTTTCCAGCTTTACCCCTCGAGACTACTGCAGGTATCTCTGGTCATTGCTTTGACCCCTGTCTCCATTCCCTGGCTTTGTCTTTCCCAGAAAGTTCTACTCTGGGTGTCATCTGCAAGAACATGGCCTGCAGGTCCCAGAAAGGGTTGGCTGAATAAAGCATCCTGCCCCCTCACTTCCTCCTAGGGGTCTCAGAGAGGATAAGGCTTTGGTCTCAGGGAAGGAAGTCTCAGGTCAGCAGAAGGAGTGTCCCAGGACCTGCAAGGAGTCATGGTGAGGACCCTGAGCGAGGACTGAGGGGACCACATTTCCTACAACAGAGGGAATCCTATGAAGCCCAATTCTGCCTGCCCTACAGTGAGCCCTGGGAAGCCTTGAGTTAGGTTGGCTAGCTGCACCCTACAGAGCCTTCTAACTTTCTCCTTTAGATGCTTATGGGACAGGACAGGGAACCTGTGAGGCCCTAGAGCACTTCACTCGGCGAAGACAGGTGGAGGTGGCCTTCCTCAGAGCCGTCAAGATTAATTTACCAGCTGAGGCGACTCACATCCTCCTTCTCTCCCTAAGACTGTGATCCTTCCTGCCCACACTCCTGCCTCCTGCCACCAACAGAAGTCATCATGCCTCAGTGTCAGAAGCATCAGTGCTGCACACCTGAGCAACACCTTCAGGCCTGAAGTCAGACCCAGGCCCTGGAGAGTGCACAACCACCTCACCCAGCAAATCAAACGAGGACTCTAGCAGTCCAGAAGAAGAGGAAAGTTAGAACACTTCCACAGACTCTGCCAGATACTGAGAACTTGCTCAGATACCCTCTAGAAACTAGAAATTGGTTTTTGGTGAATTTCCTAGTACTCAGTAATCAAATGAAAGAGACCATAACAACAGCAGACATGCTGAAAAATGTCATAGAGTAGAGGACCACTTACCTAAGAACCTCAGTATGGCCTCTGAGCACTAGGAACTGGTCTTTGGTATTGACGTGAAGGAAGTGGAGTACTCCTATGCCCTGGTCAACAAACAGTCTCACCTACAATGAGAAGCAAAGTTAAGACAAGGACATGCCCAAGACCAGGCATCTGATAACAGCCTTATATTCATGAAGTCAAACAGCACAACTGAGGAGGAAATCTGTGAAATGTTAAATATTATAGTTGTATATTCTGAAAATAAGCACTTCATGTTTGGGGAACCCAGGAAGTTCATGACCAAAGATTTGGTGCATCTAAAGTAATAGGTGTACCAACAAGTACCCAAGAGTGATTCTCCATCCTATGAATTCCTGTGAAGTCCAAGAGCCTACCTTGAAACCAGCAAGATGAAAGTTCTGGAGGTTCTGGTCAATGATACAACCTCAGTCCTCCCAGTGCCACTATGAAGAGGTTTTGATATAAGAGAAAGAGAAAACCAGGGCCAGAGGTACAGCCAAAGCTGGCCATACTGCCATTGCCAGGGCCAGTGCCACAGCCATGTGCAACAGCTCTTCCCACCTCTAGTGAAGTGTGAGGCAGATTCTTCACTTCATATTTGAAGAAGTTTGTCCACCTTCTAAGTAGTGGAGGCCAGATAGGGCTGGAGGGAACTCATGTATGTCTTGTTATGTTTGTTATACATGAGTAACTTGGAGATTTATCTTTTTTTCAGTTTATTCCTTTGAATAGAAGGTATATTTAGACTAAGAATCCAAGTTTATGAATAGCATGGATCGCACACTTATTGCTGCTAATCAGATTTGAGAGTAAGTCTTGTGTTTTGTAAAACAAATACAAAATCCTTGATTTTTTTTTCTTTTTTTGTGATCCAGAATGAGATAACATGGCACTAAAATGGGGATATCCTTGAAAATGTCAAAGAACTCAACAGTAAGTAGTTGTGATCACAAAATACAGAGGAAAAAAAAAGGGTGGTCAATTCTTGGTTTCACTTATTCCTTTTAGTCTTTCTTTTGGTAAAAGGAAAATATACATATACCTGGATTTACTTGGCTTATTCAAGAATTTAAGAGGTTGGTGAGAGACTTCATTTGGGACTGCATCAGGTCTGCCAAGCAAGACGACTCAGGCTCCAAAAGGAATCACGGCGAAGGCCCTGAGTGTTATGAGAAACAATCCCACATTGGGTGGGTACAGAAGAACGCAGCTCTGCCCCTCCCTCCTCTTAGACTTGAGAGGTACCAGGAAGAGGTAGTAGGCTGAGGCGCCCCCTCATTTCAGACAGGATGTCAGGAAAGAACTGTTCTTGGTTCAAAGCGGGCAGCCCAGTTCTGTGGAGGAGTCTTGTCCCTAACTGCAGTAAGGTGAGGCCCCTGAGTGCTAATGGAGGACCTACTCCCAAAAAAGGTCTTCCCAGAGCGCGGATCCAGCCGGCACTCCTGGGAGGCCCCATGCAAGGGTAGCGTGAGGCAAGACCAGGCATCCCCCTCTAGGGCCTCCGCGAGGTGAGGTTCTTGTTCTAAGCCTGTGACTCAGATCTGTATAGGCAGGAATCCCAGGATCTGACAGGTGCCAAGGTGAGAACCCTAAGTGAGCACTAAGGGACCACCCACTCCAGAACAGTCGGGTTCCAAGCGTCCCGCCCTTGCTGTCGTCCCTCGGAGCCCCCCCCCGCAACAGCCTTGGCCCTTAGAGGGCCCCCAGTAGCTTTGGCCGGATGTGACGTGTCCTGATATCCTGTCTTCTGCATAGGAAGCTCCGGAAAGGTACCGCCTCTGATCTGAGGGGCGTGGCTCATCCAGCTCATCATCTGAGGAGGGTGGAGTCTTAAGACTGGTCAGGAGTCCAGGTGAGGACCCTGAATGTGGACTGAGGGGACCACTTAACCTAGAACAGAGGAGGTACTACAAAGTCTCGCCCCCTACCGCCAGCCTCAAAGCCACCAGGCCGATGTCAGCCTGGAAAGTCTCGGGAAGGAAGGGCCTTGGTCCAAGGAAGCACCCCAGCTCTGAAGAGGGAGGAGATCTAGACCCTAACTGGACGCCAGGCAAGGACCCTTAGTGCTAATGAGGCGGCCTCCCCGCAAAAGAGGGTCCGCCCACAGTCCGCCCCTGCTGTCAACTCTGGGAGCCCTCAGGCAGGGGAAGCCAGATGTGCGGTGCCCTGACTCCCCTCTAGGGAGGTGAAGGCCTTAGTCTGAGCCATAAAGTCCACCCCTGCTTTCAGGCAGACTCAGGTTAGTAGAGGGAAGAATCCCAAGTCATACCTGGAAGCAAGGTCGGAAGGCTGAGTGAGAAATGAAAGGGTCACCAAATTGAGAACTCTGGGATCAGGTAACCCCTGCCGCCCCGGCAAGCCCTAGCATTCCAGAAACAGCCTGCACAGGGTGTGGTTCACTCTGACTTCTAACTCTGAGGTCTCAGGAGGCTGTGGTCTTTGGTCTAAGGGGTGTGGCCTCAGGCCAGCAGAGGGTGGAGTCCCAGGAATGGTGCACAGTCAAGATGAAGACATTGAGGTACTGGGGTCCACTCAACCCAAAATGGGGAGGGCTGCCCTGAAACCTGTTCCTGCCATTAGCCCTGAGAGCCCAGGACAAATCTGGTAGGTTTGGGTGCTCCCTGACTTCTGCCTGGGAGGTCTCAGGGAGATGAAGTCCTTGGTTTAAGGCTGGATGTCCCAATTTAGCAGAGAGGAATCCAAGAACCTGGTGGAAATCAAGGAACAAATCCTGAAAGAGGAAAGAGGGAATTAACACCCTGAGTAGAGAGGAGGCTGCACAAAGTTCCCCTTCTGCTACTGGCCCTGGGAAGCCAAGGTCAGAGATGTCAGGCTTAGGTGCCCCCTCATTTGTTCCTAGGGCAGGTGGTCTCAGGGACAGGAAGTCCTTGAACTAATGGGGAGGCCTACTCAACAGAGGCAGGAGACTTGGTCCCTAAGAGGAGTGAAGGTGAGGACAATGAGTTATGATGAGGTAACTCCTCCACAAATCAGGGGGAACCATAAAGCACCACCCCTGTTTTTAGACCTGGGGGACTTGGGCATGCTGCCATAGTGAGTTGCACTCACTTCCTCCCAGGACATCTCAAGGAGGTGAGGGACCTGGTCAAAGGGGGCAGCCTCAGGTCAGAGAAGGGGAGATTGTCAGGGCTTGCCAGTAGTCAAGGTGAGGACACTGAGGACTGAGGGGACCACACTAATTGGAGGCAATGCAGAATCCCTCCATTACTGTCAGCCTTGGGAGACCACAGGCAGTTGTGGCGAGATGAAGCAAACTTCACTTCTCCCTCAGGGGTCTCTGGGAATTGAGGGCCTTAGTATGAGCAGATAGGCCTTATTCAAGACAGGGAGGACTTCCAAGTTGTGCCAGGAGTCAAGGTGAGGACCTGATGGAGGACTCCAGACTCCAATGAATCCAGGACAAAACGGGCCCCACTGCGCTGTCAGCACTGGGATACCCTCTGAAGGGTGGAGGCTGAGCTGCCCCTTCAATTTCTCCTTGTGGGTCTCAGAGGGATTTGAGGTGTCAAGTTCAGCGTAGCAGAAGAGAGGGAGCCCAGGCCCTGCCAACCCTTGATCTTATTTCCCTGGAAGTGAAGAAGACCTCCCACTACCCCAATACAAAGGGTCGTCACTACCAGCCCCTGCTGTCAGCCCAGTAAGCCCAAGGCAGGGCTGACAACTGCAACCTAAGCCTCACCCCAACTTCCTCCACAGGGTTCTCGGGACAGGCTGACCAAGAGATCAGGAGCCTTCTGGGTTCCTAGAGCGGTGCCTTCCAAGAATCCTGCCTAGGTAGCCATTCTTAAAGCCGAGGAGGCATCTCTCTGCTGAAAGGGCTCACACCCTCTCAGCATCCCTGCTCCAGTGGGCCCGCATCACCTGCCCTCCTTCAGCACTCCTGCCTGCTGTCCTTGACCAGAGTCATCATGCCTCGAGGTCAAAAGAGTAAGCAATGCGCCCATGAGAAACGTCGCCAGGCCCGAGGTGACGCTCACAGTGTCCAGGGTGATCAGGCCACTGCAGCAGAGGAGGAAGGGTCCCCTTCCTCTTCCTCTCCTCGTTTTGGGGGTTCTCCCCAGAGTTCTCCTGCTGCTTGTATTCCCCAGGGGCCTCAGAGAGCCCCATCCACCACCACTGCTGCTGCAGGTGCTTCGGGCACAAGAGCTGGTAGAGGGGCCAAGAGCCACGGTGAGGGAGCTCCAAGTTCCTCTGAGGCCCCAGCCCCCACTGAGAGGTCACAGAGAGACCCTCTAACCAGGAGGGTGATCATGTTGTTGCAGTTCCTGCTGTACAAGTATAAAATGAAAGAGCCCATTACGAAGGGAGAAATGATGAAGATCATCAACAGAAGGTACAAGGAGCACTTCCCTGAGATCCTGAGGAGAGCCTCTGAGCATATGGAACTGGTCTTTGGCCTTGACCTGAAGGAAGCTGACTCCAAAGGTCAATCCTATGCCCTTGTCAGCAAATTAGAGATCACCAAGGAAGAGAATATGATTGGTGGCAGGGGCTTTCCCAAGAACGGGCTCCTGATGTCTCTCCTGGGCATGATCTACACGAATGGCAACTGGGCCACCGAGGAGGAGATGTGGGAATTCCTGAATATGCTGGGGATCTACGATGGAAAGAGGCCCATCATCTTTGGGGAGCCCAGGAAGTTCCTCACTAAAGATTCGGTGCAGAAAAAGTACCTGGAGTACAGGCAGGTGCCCAACAGTGATCCTCCACACTACGAGTTCCTGTGGGGTCCCAGAGCCCAATCTGAAGCCAGCAAGACAAAAATCCTGGAGTTTCTGGCCAAGATCAACGTTACTGACCCCAGTGCCTCCAAAGCCGTGTATGAAGAAATTTGGAGAGATGAGAAAGGGAGAGCTGCAGGCAGAGAATGGGCCGGGGCTGGTCCTAATGCCAGGGCCTGGGCCCGTTTCCAGGGGAAGTCTAGCAGATCGTCCCACCCTTAGTGAAGTCTGAAGCAGGTTCTTCATTTTGTGTTTAAAGAGAACTGTTAACCTCCTAAGTAGTGGAGGACATGTGGGTTTGGCAGCAGCACATGTATGCCTTTTTGCATTCCCGTTATACATTAGTAACTTGTGGATTCATCTTTTGTGTGCGTATGTTTTTCAAATGTTGATCCTTTTAATAGAAGGTTTATTTAGATTCAGAATCCAAGTTTATGAGATATATGATTAATGCATTTATTGGTGTTTTTCAGGTTTAAGAATTTTGTATTTTGTAAAACAAATGGAAAATCCTTGAATCTTTTTGTGACCCAGAACTAGATAGTATGGCATTGGAATGGGGATATGCTTGGAAATGTTAGAGAACTCAACAGTAAGTAGTTGCTATCACAAGATAGAAAAGTAAAAGATTGTCAATACCTGGTTAAATCCCAAGCCCTACCCATAGATTTTTAGAGTCTAGGAGCAGCTATCATATAAACCTTTCATGACTCATGGAACATATGGTATCTCACCCACTCCACGCTTTATACATCTGTAGTTCTTTGAGAGTATATTTTTCCCCGCTGAAAGTATTTGCTTCCCTCTAGTGGGGTGTCAGGGAGGGAGGGCCTTGATCCAAAAGGTGCAGACCCATTTCTGCAGAGGAGGAGTCTTGTCCCTAACTGGAGTAAGGTGTGAACCCTGAGTGCTAATGGGGGTACTACCATCAAAAGAGAGTCTGCCAAGAATGCTGACCCAGCTGGCACTCCTGTGAGGCCCAGGCAGGTGTAGCATGCAGTATGCCCTGACCTCCCCCTCTAGGGTGTCCATAATGTGAGGGTTTTGTTTGGAGCCTGTGATTCAGGTCTGTATAGTCAGGAACCCCAGGCTCTGATAGGTATCAAAGTGAGGGCCCTGTGAGAGCACTAAGGGACCAACAACTACAGAACAGTGGAGTCCCAAAAGCCCTACCCTGGGTGTTGGCAGTCAGAAGCCCCCCAAAAGCCTTGACCTATGGAGGCCCCTCCAGCAGCCATGGCTGGATGTGTCGTGTCCTGACTTCCATCTAGGAGGTGCCAGAAAGGTGCAGGCTCTGATCTGAGGGGCGCAACTTCTCATCATCGGAGGAGGGTGGAGTCCCAGGACTGGTCAAGAGTCCAGGTGAGGACCCTGAATGTAGACTGCAGGGACTACCTAATATAGAACAGAGGAGGTACCAGAGAGACATCCTTCTGAACACAAGCACTGACTGGGTGTGTTATGCACAGCGTGTCCATGGAGTTTCTGAGAAATGGAGATACTCCATTAATGTCAGGAAGCCACTGCTACTAGCCTTTCGCATTGGGCTGGGGGAGCCAGAGCCCACTCCATTGAAAGAACATTAGAATTATGGTATTTTCAGCAAACTCCAAGTGAGGACTAGACTTTTGGTGGTGGTGATGTGAATGAAATTGGGATGACTTAGATGAAAGTGCAGCTGGGAGGGTGAATTGTTGGTCCTTGACAATAATTCTAGGAGCTTTGTGTTGCATTAAACTGGGGCAGTCTACCCCACATTAAATAGCATACTCCCTAATATGGATTGAATTATGTCCCACCTCTGCCCCAAAAATTGTTGTAAATCCCAACCTTATTCCTAAGGTTATAATCCCATTTGGGAATTGGTTTTCTTTGTTATGTTAAAGGTACAGTATTAGTGCAGTGCATGACTTAAGTCAACCCTCCAGTGGCTCCACTGAAGAAAGATGTGGCAGTCTTCCTCCATAAAGATTACAGCGTTGTTGTTAACGAGTGTCATAAAACAATATGTGTACTGACTGTTTAATGAGAAACTATTTGTTCTGTAAATATTCACCTGAAGTACAATAAAAAAAAAGAATAAACAAATCTGTCTTGGAAGGAAAAAAAAAAAGATTATAGCCTTGGTGTGGGGACCATGGTCTCAGGGAACATCTAGCTCAATTGGTATAACACAGTTTATAAAAACAATGTTCTACATTCTACCTTGGTGAGTAGCATCTGGGGTCTTAAAAGCCTGTGAGCAACCATCTAAGATACTCCACTGGTCTCACCCCTGCAAGAGCAAAGGAGAATGAAGAAAACAAAATACAAGGGATAGATTAGTCCAAAGGACTAATGGACCGCAACTACCACAGCCTCCACCAGACTGAGTCCAGTACAGCTAGATGGTGCCCGGCTACCACCACTCACTGCTCTGACTGAGATCACAACAGAGGGTTCTGGACAGAGCTGGAGAACGATCTAGAACAAAATTCTAACACACACACAAAAAAAAAGACCAGATATTCTGGCCTGAAAGAGACTGGAGAAACCCCAAGAGTATGGGCCCCAGACCCTTTCTAGCTCAGTGGTGAAGTCACTTCTGAGGTTCACCATTCAGCCAGGGATTGGACAGCCCCATATAACAAAACAGGACTAATGATGCACAGCAGTCCAGGGATGAGGACTAGAAGGTAGAAGGGGACGGGAAAGCTGGTGATAGGGAGCCCAAGGTTGAGTAAGGACAGTGTTGACATATAGTGGGGTTGTTAACCATTATCATAGGGCAACATGTATGCTGACCGTTTAATGAGAAACTCTTTTGTTCTGTAAACCTTCATCTAAAGTGAGAATAGCAGTACAACTGGAAGAACATAATCGATGTCACTGAACTGTGCATGTAGAAATTTTGAAATGGATGGTGTATCTTTGGCTATGTATATTTTCACCAAAAAACAAAAAAAGGAGTTCTGGCAAAATGGCGCTCTAGGCAGAAGCACCACGCCGTCCCTCCACAGCAAAGATCCAAAACACTAAGCCAAACAGAGAATACAACAATCCTGAAACCCTAAAACATCAAATGAAGAAATAAAGAACTCAGCCAAGCAACAAATGGAGTGAGAAAACTGACAGAGAACAGAGAGAGAGGAGAGATTCATGCAGAGGTCCCCT